ATGTAGGCCTACATCAGAGACTCGCTCCATCGGTCAAAATCGAGGGGGTGATCTCTGTGAACCATTGAACAAGTATAGGTTTTACCTGACCTATGATCAGTTTTATACATTTGTAGATGTTTTAATTTGACATTAGTAATTAAAAGGATCTCTTATTGGCCTGTTTAGTTGAGGCAATCCATCGAACAAACAAAACAAGCCCTGAAAAAGTTTAAAAGAACAAATAGCCTATACAGACACTTGATATTTAATCTTATCAGATGATTAGTTAATTGCATTTGATAGATTTTACTTTCAATAAAACATTTGCAATGGGTTTGTAAAAGGTGTTTTTATTTGGCCTGAGTTTTTGTTGCATTTACACTGTTCTGACCAGCTCCCAGCTTTCGAACGCGTATTTAATCATTTTTGTTTAATCATTGCAATCATTCTGCAAAGCAATTGGTTCAATTGATTCAAAGCTTTGTTTCTCCCATTCAATGCTACTTCCAGGCAGGTGTGTTGAGGCAAACTGGAGCTAAACTGTGCTGGACAGTGTTTGGACACCCCTGCCAAAGGCCAATCAAAAATAGCCCCAATTAACCCAGTAGCCGTTTCCAAATATCAAAACTCAAATATGCCATACCTAAAATAGATATTTTACAGTCTGGCATTATACGCAATTTCAACTTAAAAATCACTATCTAGTTAGTCATTGTCACTTTTCATCAAGGAGCTCAAAGGCCCCGATCCCTCACAAAACTCATAGCACAGTTTTATCATTGGTATAATGGTAGCCTAGCCTATTTCAGACAAAAACTACTAATGCGATGTGCCCTTTTACACGCGGGAAAAAATTAACTACGTAGCCCAATTCAGCGGGAAAACCACAGATTTGGCAACCCTGGAGGTGTACAGAGAGTTCTGGCATTCGGAACGGTCCATGACTGGCCGGGTGGAGAGATCGCAAACACCCCGCGGTGATCAGATGACGAGATGACGAGAGAACGTTCTGCGTTCCACATGGAACTCTCTCGAGTGAGTCGCTGCGCTGAGCTGCACATATATGGTTGCCATTGGAAACAGACTTGGAGCTCTGGCGGGAATAAAGTGATCTCGGCCGCTCCCAGATCAGATCCAGTTTAAAGCACGTAAATCCAAGGCGAAACCTTCACTATCAAACATCAAAACAAAAATCAATAGGCCTACTGCATTTATTCTAAACGACTATATGAAAGGCCATTTTTCTGTGTTTATACGTTGCAGAGTTTGTGCTTATTGCAAATTGTGAAATTAAAAGAATTTCAAAGCCATCGAGAACTTTCATAGCCTACCATAAGTGTATCGTGCTGATGTTACTGACAGCTTGTCTGCGTGTTGGCAGCTATAGGCTTATGTCCATTTTGCAGCTTGATTGAAACGAGACAATATAAAGTTAGACTGGAAGAAACATTGACTTTGAAATTAGCAATGTGATCTAAGAAAACATGCAGATCATGACGTGTCACGAGTGTTTTTTAGTTCTTCATGAAAATAAACATGCACTATGAAGAAGGATAGCAGCTTAAGGCTAGGCTTAGCGCACGAGATTGTTCTCGAGGTTTATTAGGCTAATTATGATAACTTTTCCCCTTGAACTGGATCTGTGCACGGTTGAAATGAATAATGCACGGCTGAGAGCATTTGTAGTCGAACAGTGCTATCTTTCGTTTGAAGAAACAACAGGATCAGCGGATTGTTGATCACGGATATCTGCTGCCCTCTGCTGACATGATCTAATGCAGCTACTTTATTCTGCAAGCGACTGCAGTTGCTCAAAATAAGAACAGATTAGCATGAATATGTATTGTTTTTATGAATTGGTGAAATGGCAGACATTGCTACCACATCAAACTAAATCACAGTGAGGACACAGTTAGCATTACTGCCAAGTCAAGCATCACTATGCTCATAGAGTTATAGGGATTTAAAGGTTTAGTTCACCCAAAATTGAACATTTTGTCATTCATTTAGCCTTATCATCACCCTCATGTCGTTCCAAACCTGTAAGACTTTCGTTTATCTTCAGAACACAAATGAAGATCGTTTTGATGAAATCTGAGATACTTCTGTCCCTTCTGCAACTACCACATTGACGCTTCAAAAAATTCATAAAGAGATTCTAAAATGAATCCATAACCTCATTGGTTCTTGCAGAAGCTCAAACGTGCTCAGTGCCACGAGAATGAACCTCATTGGTTCTTGCAGAAGCTCAAACGTGCTGCGTAACACGAGAATTAACCTCATTGGTTCTTGCTGAGGCTCAAACGTGCTGCGTAACACGAGAATGAACCTCATTGGTTCATTCTCACTGCCCCTCCCAGACCAGAGCCAATGATTTTGTCTGAGCTATGAATTTAAAAATAATGATAATAAAATTCATATTTTCTTATTTTATTTGCCTTATCTTATGCTTTTAGTGTAGAATGAGTAAAGCTGTTTGTTGTTAGGATGACAAAAAGTTTTAAAAGTTACATTTTTAGGCTGCTCCGCCTCAGTGGTCTAAATGTGCTCGTCAATGTCCAAATGATCGAGATGACCAATCAAATCAGAGAAGGCGGGACTTGCTGTCTTTCTGTCACAACTCAACTAGAGTTCGTTTTTATCGTTTATAATACATTTTAATCTTTTATTTATTTAATAATGAATAATACATCTAGAATTTTCACTTCTGGGTGAACAATCCCTTAAAGAGAGAAAAGCATGTGACGTTCCCCATGTTTGTCATGTAGGCTACTCACTCATATTACATGAGCATTGACCAACAATTATCAATAACATAACAATATTTCCAGTCATGTTTGGAGATATCCTAAATCATATTACTATTTTCTACATTTTAAAATAATAGTAGCCTAGTCATTAAAACAATAAAATAACACAAATGGAGGTATGGGAATTTTGCAGTGATCTATAAAAATACTTTTGTTATAATTTGTTGATCGATTTACATTTATTTTATGCTGTTTTACACTTCGCTATGAATCTTAAAGCAAATGTTTAACATAAACGTTATCAAGACGTTATGACGTCAATTATTCAACATGTACTACCAGAAATGTCCACTAGATGTAGGCAGAGATCCACAATTGTGATGTTTAATTACAGCACCGTTAAATTAGTAACAGCCTACAGTAACAGCAACACATACTATATAATATAGCCTACATATATATTTATGTTGTTGATAACAGAGAATGAAATATATTATTTATATATATATATATATATTGATTTTTTGTATTTATATGGTACAAGATTATCCTATTCAAATCAATGATAAAAGTTATATTAGCCTATACATTTCATTTTCTGTTATCAACAACATGTAGTGCATTAAATATAACATTACGTCAGGATTTCCCAGACTGGGGTTCGTGAGTTTAATGAAAAGCTATAAATCATCAACATTTTTAAATTAAAATACATAATTTTAAAATAAAAACAATTCGAATGAAACATTCACTTAAAATATTTTTTTAATATTTGTTTACCTGCATGTCATGTGACCATTAGCCGACATCAGAAAACCATGAACTCAATTTTATTATTATTATTGACTTAATTTTATTATTGACCTAACTTATTGACTTCATAAGGGGGTACTTCAAGTAAATATATTAGGTCAAAGAGGTTCAGCTGACAAAAAACTTGGGGAATCCCTGCATTGCATATAAATATGAAACAATGTGAATTTGTACATTCTGTGTTTGAAAGACAAAACGCCCAAAGACAGTAATGCAAACTTAAATGACTCACTGAGTGATAATTCAAATAATAATGAATGTGTTCGGCAGGAGCTGACTATATGCAACGTTTAGAAAACTACATAAAACTGAAATGATTTCTGTTAATCCAGTGATCAAATGCTGTGTGGGTCTCAGTTTTCAGTGATAGTGCAACTCCACAAACCTGGAAGATCTTCTGAACATGTATATAAGCAGTAAGCAAAAAGAAATAGCTATAATCAATGAATTATTATTTACCGCTTGTGAGAATAACATGTAATCTATAGAAGATTAACTGTAGTCTCATTATAAGTATTTTAAAATGTAATATAATCTAATTACAAGTAGGCTACTTATTTTTTTAAATCTGTTTACGTAATCCAGATTACATGCTATTACATGTGTATATATATATATATATATATATATATATATATATATATATATATATATATATATATATGTATATATATATGTGTGTGTGTGTGTGTGTGTGTGTGTGTGTGTGTGTGTGTGTGTGTGTGTGTGTGTGTGTGTGTGTGTGTGTTCTCATAGAACAGAATGACCATAGGCAAGATTTTCATTTTTCATAACTTCCTTCTTCAATTTATGTCTTTATAATTAAAGAAGGTTAAATTATGTAACAATGTATCAAGAGATTTCCCATGCTATTTCAATCCACTTGGATGTTTGTCCAAGTCATTTCAGCTCAAATAACAATAAACTGATTTTAAAAATGTATTTGAATCTTATAGCCTAATACAAAATTTGAAAAATGTTTCATTTTCTATTTTGACTATAACTTCTATTTTGATGTGATTAAAAATACTCATCCCATAAGGGGAATAAGCAGATAGCGTAGTCTATTTACAATTTCCCTCATGGGATCATTAAAGTAGACTATATCTATTATAAGTGCAAAACTGTGAATGCCACTAATATCCTTTTTGTGTGTGTGTGTGTGTGTGTGTGTGTGTGTGTGTGTGTGCAGAAATCTGTTCTATAATGCGAGACTCCTGTGAAAGTAATAGCGCTCAGCCAAGTGCACACACTATTTCCTCAGAATAAGGGACACACCCCGCAGTGAGCGCTTTCAGATCAGAATGCCTGACTGACTTTGTGCCGTCGACCAAACTTGACAGTTCCTGTTATCCGCACGCGCACAGTTCCCGCCTCTCCTCTCCCTGTCAATCATCCGTGGAATCACACTAGTGTGCGCGCGCACGCAGCTCCGCTGATGTAGGAGGAGACGCTGCTGTCATCTGCAAAAAAAAAAGGTGGCATAATCCATTTTTAAAGGCACCGGGCTTTTTCCTTCCTTCTTCCAGGATTTTTTTTTTTTTTAAATTTTCTACAAGTGTTGTGACTGACTGAGAGCTTTCATTATATAAAAACGACACAAAACGGAATGTTTTTGACATTATTCATTGTAAAGCTCTGACGCTTCATTCACCCGAACTGACAGCAATTCCTCCTTTCCAGAGGAGGTTTTTTTTCCCTCCGTTTGAAGGGGTGGATACGGCTGGAGAGGTGGGGGGTGGATGGGGGGGGGGGGATAGCCAGGAAAAGTGGATGTCGCGACTGTGCGATCTGTCCCGTTTTCACCGGGACCCGTGTTGGTGGTGAGCCGCCGCGGAGCCGTTTGTGGGAGTGTCGCACGTACGCGAGGATAGTTTGTCCTGGATTTTTTCAATCATTTGCAAGATAAGGCTCCCGGACCTCCTTCTCCGCGTCGACTCTATCCTCCCTTCCTCATCCTCCCGGTTTGTCTTCCTCACGTACCTCCGTGATTTCACCGCGGTCCGTACGCGGGGTTGAGGCTCGCGTTCGCCGCGAGAGGACTGAACGCAGCGCGCGAGGCCCCCCGGCCCCCTCCCCCACTCTCAAACCCCCTTCAGATCATCTCCTCACCTCCCTCTCATTTCCCCCTTCTTCTTCTTAATATTTTACCTCAGAGAAGAAGAATAAAGGGGTTTTTCGCGCCTTTTTTCCAACGGCCACTCGAGCGAGGTGGTATTTTTGTATTTTTTTCTGGTTTCTGAAGCCCCAACGAGGCCAGTAAAGCTGTGGGGATGACTTTAGAGTCGATGATGGCCTGCTGCCTGAGCGAAGAGGCCAAGGAGTCGAAACGGATCAACGCCGAAATCGACAAGCAACTGCGTCGAGACAAAAAAGACTCGAGACGGGAGTTGAAGCTGCTTCTGCTCGGTACGGAGACCGCAGTTGCCGCCGCCGCCGTCTTTAAACTCACTCACACACATACACACACACATTCACAGTCAGTCGACAGGTTTCGCTGTGGTTTTCAGCTGTGACTTGTGGTGCTAAACACACCACCCCCCTTTTAGTGTGGTGGCGGGTTGAGGTGTTTGTGGTTAATGTTTTTTTTATTATTATTATTATTATTCAAGTGAACAGTACCAACGGTACGAAAAGTGCTAAGGCGTTAGCGCTTTAGCATATGTGGGCCGAATGCTGGACAGGGCCTGGCATGCAATGCAACAGCACACAAATCTCAGCATGCTCTCTGTTGTGTGCATGTACATGATAGTGCTTGTCATCATAGGTCCTCCTATATAATCGTACATTAGCTAGTTCATTTTTCTAGCTGTCACTTGTGTGTTATGAGTCAACCCAAGTGGTCTGCTGTGTAATATTGCATGCTGCTTGATAGACCTATAAGAATATGTGCAAATGTGCAATCAAAAATGAGTTTGTATGGCTGGTTTGCTCTAAAGGATGCTAGGTGTCAATAGGTGCAAATTATATGAGACTGTTTTGTGGTTTGTGTTACTGCATTACTAGTCCTGTCAGATTACACTATTCAAATTTTAGGGAAATTATGCTGAGGTTTGGGAGATTGTCAGCTGAACGTTTACAGCTTTAGTCTTTTGACGTATAGAAATGTGCGTAATTTTGGTTTGTTGATGGGGGGGGGGGGGGTTAAGGTGTGAACCATTTAGCGTGCGATTTAGTTGTTTATTTATTTTTGCTAAATAGTCTTTTGTGGTATCACCCACATGCAAAGTTGGTTGATAACATAACTGCAATAAAGTAATAGCCTACAGTTAACAATTACTTGTTTACATATGATAGGATATATAATGTATTTTATATTATTTAAGGACCGAAAACGTTTTCAGTTTGACTGAATTTTACTTAAAGAACTTATAATTTTCTTGGAATATCTGAAAACCATGTTTTTTTTTAATACCTGTCATTTAGCAGAAGACATTTTACACACTTGTTTAGACAATAATTCAAGAAGGTCCAGACTTTAAAGCTCTTGCACTTGGACATTATGACAAAGTAACATAGTTATTGTAATTGTTTAACTATGCCATTTGTTAAAATAAGAATATAATTAGGTAAGACCATTGGTGACGCTTCATTACCATGCTAAGGCCAATGTAAACGTATTTCTTATGCATTTGTTATGAAAAATAGCAGCCTACACATAGGAACTATATCTACAACATGCCACAGTTGTAATATAAATCTTTAGTGAAAAATCTATTTCCTTACCAGGTAATCTATTATAAATTCTACAATTTAGTCAAAATTTACCTCAATAGAACGTGATAAATTCTAGTAAAGGTGGTCATGAGAAGTTTAAAAAGCTTTCTAATTTATGTTGGTGCAGGATGATATTCTCGTCTTTTCATCAGTCTTTTTTTGTTTATGTGGCTGTTTTAGATCACTTTTTACTTTCTCCAGAGGGTTTTAGAGTAAATAGAATTTAAATGGGTCGCACATTTTATCATCAGTGTCGCGAAAGGAACGTCATGCTGGTGAACGTGCGCAGGCATGCACAATTAAATAAACCAAGCTTCAGACATATTTCTCAAATAATTGGTTCGTATGGGAACTTAGTGCTTAAAAAGCTCTGAATGCACGATGTATATAATTAATTAATAGCCTGATTCTTCTATGTTTCCATTAACTATGGTGTATATTGGGTGGTTATAACCCCCGCAAATTACGCCCCTGAGTAAAGACACTTTTCTGTAGCTTGCAAAGGATGTTTTTCCCTCGATAATCTTCAAATTAATGAGAAAAAACAATTAGTTTGTAGGTATCAGCCCTGAGCGCTAAATGTCAATCAATTTACCATGTCAGTCTGTGCCACCTGTCAAGTTTGGGTCGCTGTTGCACTTTTAACATTAATTCTAAGTGTCAAATTATCTCAAAATGGTGGACAGTTATTTCCTTATGAGGGCGTGCGTGAGTGCTCTGCACACTGGACTCTGGTTACTCCCAAGGAAGGAGAATTGGATGCTTTATCAAGCTGTGAAGTTTGGTTTCTGTTCTGTCATATATGACTCAGTGAATTGGTAAGCGGTGATATCTGACACGGACAACCGTCATTCATTTCCTATTAGTCAGGACTGTTTTTCCGCTTGAAACCACACAATGAGCTGCTAGTATGGATCATAAAATTGAAACTGAGCTGATGATAAAGACAGATAGGGATGGACAGAAGAGTTTTGGTGACATCATGTGTTGAAATGATGTCCAATTGACCCTTCGCGTAACTCCGCCCACTTTGGTTACGGTTGACAAGCTTTACACAACATTGGAATCGATGAACTTGAAATTTGCTTTTTCAGCAAAATATGCCACAATTTACTTTTCGTTATTATTCTTCCCCAAAAATCATCTGCCATATTATCAACCCATTGCTCTTTTTTGATGTTACAGGTCTACAGGCGTCCCAACGAGGATGAACACGTTTGATACCTGTAGAAACATTTAAGCGTTATGTTCAATTAAACTTAATATATCTGTTGATATCGTTTTCAAATGAGACTTAATGCATTTTTAGATTTTACTGTGTCGTTCATCAACGTGTTTGACTGAAAATGTTAACAGAAATTTCCAAGAGATTTCTGGGATGTTCTGTGAAGCTTGTAAGCTACAGTATCCAAGGGGGCGGAGCTTAGAAAAGGGCCAGTTGACTTGAAATTTGCATCTTTATTATATGGAGTCTACTTGATACATTGGCGAACCAGTATTCAAGATTGTAGTACCCTTTATTTGAAGTTGCCACCACTCAAGCTCATCTAGTCTAGCGAACTCTAGTTAGGCGAGAACAGGAGCAGTTCTGTAACAGTGAATGATTCTGAGGACACGGTGGCTCCTATGTGGCTCCGTGACCTCTGTGAAAATACAAGAGTTCGACCTTTACCGCTATGAGAGAATTAATAAGTAAAAGTTCTCTCCCTGTCTCACTCCCTATCCCTATCCCCATGCCACCAAAGGAAGTATATAAAAAAGCAGCTTGTTGGTGCTCAGTCATCCTATTAATGGCCCATCCTAAATAAGTTAAAACTGTCAGCCTAACTCTGGATAAGTCTTGGCTAGTCTGGATTAGCCAAGACCTTAATAGGCTTTGCGAACACATATTTGCTTCCATTGCTGATACCATAGCTGCTTTGTGTTAACCAGCTTCTCACTCTGTTAAAACAGCTTAGTCTAGTTAAGCTTTGACAAATTGTGGTTATTAGTAGGGCTGGTTGCTATTTCAGATATTCACAATGTATTTGTGATGATTTTGCTGCACTTTATTTGGTCACACATTTTGGCATCCTTGTCTTGCATCTTACATGTATTCGAGTATTATAAGTCTCTGTGTGACTGTGGCATTATTCATGTTTTGCCTAACACAGCCAAACCTTGGCACAAGATTTGTACTGTATTTTAGACATTTTTGCATTAAATATTGTACATTATACATCCAATTGGCTACAATGGCTCTTTGGGCAAAATGAGGTTGTCTCTGAAAAATAAATCTTTAAAGCCATTTTAAACCAAATACATGAATATAATAGTCTGGAATATATATCAAATGTTATATGTTTTTCTTTTTCTAATTAATTCCCTGGGAATCAAACCCATGACCTTGTAATTGCTAATGCTGTGATTTACTTTTTGAACTAAAGTAGAACATCTTCTTATATTCTCTCAGAAACCTTTACAATTATTTTATCATCATTTTATTCCAGAAAATAATCTTTCTCGTGCTTTTGGGCTGGGCTGTTTTGGCAACTTAATATGAAGATCTCATATAGTCACAAATTGAATGAATATGTAATCCTAATGCCTGTATTATTAAGATTATCTCTGTGTGGCTTTACAGTTTGTTTGGGCTCCAGGTAATGCAGAGTAGCTGTTCAATTTTGTGAAATGTAGAATTTGTCCTATTTTTGATTGACATTAATTGCACTTTCACGCTGAAACATACTGGGATGGTGTCCCGTTTTTACTGTGCCGCAAAATGGACAAGCAAGTGTATGTTTTTGTTCAAATGAACAGGATTTAACATTTATATTGATTTTTTTTTCTTATGAGGTGACTTTTAATATAATTCATTATATTAATGGCGTTGCACTACAACATTATTAGAAAATAATGCATTATTATTTTAAAATAATGTTTATGAATTTCCTGCTGAATATCTGCTGTATGTGCATAGCGCTGAAGTAATGTGCCATCCATGTATTGTTGTACAGATTTTTTGTCCTTTGAATGAGAGCTCAGAGAGTTATTGTGCAGCTGTCACATCTTGAACTGAAATCTGGATATGTTATGTCATTCATGAATTCGTTTTGAATTTGAACTGTAAACCTTATATTTTCTGTTTGACTTCTGAAACAAAGTATTGTTGTGTTTTAACCTAAAGTACAGGAGCTCAGTCCTGCTTCTACAGATGTAACTGTAAAATAGAATATGCAAAAGAAACAGGTTATTATTCCATGCTCTAGGGTTTCTGTTTTTTAAAAGTAAAAATAAATTGGAGGTGTTAAAAAAAAAAGCTTGTTTACTAGCGACACTCAATGCGATGACACTCGATGAGACACTAGCGACCCTCATTCATGCATCTTTTAAAAGTTGTATTTGTTGTGTTAGTCTGTTGTTAGGGTCCTCTGATCTGCTCAAAAGTAGAAGAAATACACAAAATTCATGTTTTCTTTTAGAAGAAAACATCTATGCATATATGTGCATTCACTCTCCCTCATTTGCGTGTGAGTGGGACATTAAGTGTGAAGTTAAATTTCCAAAAGCAGTGACTATTCCACGATGATTGCTCATTTAAGAAATTCCTTGAGATTCCTAATTATGCAATCAAGAAGCATTCACAAAATATGCTGTACCTTGCTGTCATCTTATGGGATCCAAGTATGAGATCTTCACCAAGTTGTAATCTC